TTTTTTTTTGGGCTCCTCAACAAGGGCAGACCGGCTAAACAGGGCCGACGAGGGGCGGGGGGAAGCCAGGCCCTGGGCCCCCTTCCGGACCGCCAGGCACTGGTAATTTGTACCGGCTTCACCCCCCTCTCGTCGGCCCTGCTCACAGGATTGGGCCCCAAATGGCTATTTAAAATAGCTGACTTGTAGCCATAGTACAGTAGGTATTTGCACCTGTTAATGTAAAGATACCTTGTAAATTGTTCATTAAAATAAAACACCCTCCCCCCGCTTTAAATAGAAATGAAACAATGTTTTTTGCACTGAATTCTGTATCTGATGGTGTTTTTATTGGAAAAATTTCAAACTTGTGTAACCTTTCTGCCCATCTGAGTTGGCAGCAAGAAAAGCCGGGTTCAGTATCTAGGGGTTCCGTTTCAATAACACAATGCAAAACCGACTTGAGCCCCCACCCAGTGACCTGGGACAATTTCATACCACCCCCCGGGCGCCTCTAAGAGACAAGACTTCCCCTCTCGCAAGCACGGAGTCTGAGTGTAGCGAAATCCTTTTAATAAAGGAGGGAAACAATACGGCATTATATTGGGGAAACACCACAAACAGGATTCATAACACAAAGCATGAGGAAAAGACCCACCCCCAAGTAAGTTTGGCAGTATTCTTTTCCCCTCAGGGTTTTAAGTCCAACAACTCAAAAGATAACCCCAAAGTCCCAAAAGTCCAACACCCCAAAAGTCTCTGTCCTTGGTCAGTGCAGCCCCAGAGTTCAAAAGTTTATCTGCAGAGTTTTACCCCTCCAGCCTGGGTGGAAGTGGGAGGAGGGGGAAGAAAGGGTACACGGGGTGTTAAGGGGCACCTTACGTGGTGCGAGGCCAACTGCCCCATCTCTCTGTGGGGTTCTGCTGCAGCCTTAACCACGAACTGCTCCACTCCACTCGCTGTCCCATGGGCTGCTCCAACCATCTCATAAACTGCTCTATTCTCCCAGACACTTAGCAATATATCTTCAGGCTCCCCCAGGAGTTAACACAGCACTCAGTGATCTCAGCTCTTTAGTGATTTCAGCTTGTAGTAGGGGAGTCCCAGTGCTGGTACACCATTGGCTCAAAGTGAACTCAGACTCTTAAAGGAATCAAAATTCCAGTGGAGAGAGAAGGAGGAGAAGGTGCAATTGGTGTTTCCGGCCCATCCCATGAGGTACATATACATATCCCCCAGCCTCTCTCTATTCATTGGGTTTTGGAAGCCATGTCCCTTGTCTAGTGAGTGCTACTTAGTTGATGGTGAGTCCCTCTGTCATAAAACAGTTCCACTGGCCTTGATTCACATAATCATGGTCACAACACTTTATTCTTCTTGCCCCAATAACAGAGAAACTGGGGATCCCACAGCAGCCAAAGTGACCATTTTGGGCTGCTGTAGGCTCATGCTAGGCGGAGTGGGTGTGCCTATGCAAACAAGATCAGCCCCTGAAGTTCTTTTCCACAACTCGCCACAATTCACCACCCGATGTCAGGGTAGAGCTCATCCTGACTCTGCTTACACTTGTAAGAATCCTTTCAAAGGCAAAAATGTTATAACACGTTACAGTGCATGTTTGTCATATCTTTTGTGTTTGTATCATTCTGTTTTGCAGATAAGGAGACATTTGAGACCATTCCTGCAAAATCACACGATAATCATTTAGTACAAGAAGAAAGTAACATCTCTCTCTCTTGTGAATTTCAAATGAAGCGCTCAGGACAACCATTTATTATATATTGGATCAAATATAAAGAAACAAGCAAATGCCTGTCTTCTGTTGAGAGAGAGCCATATACTTTCTCGTATAATACACATTGCTGTATTGATGAGATGATCGAAGGACGACTATTGAACTATACAAGCTTAGATTCAAACAAGACACACGTAGTCCATAATATGACCATCTTGAATGTTACTTACTCCGACAGTGGAACTTATTTATGTGTTGTAAATGCCTGGTCAAGAGATAAACATGTGTGGAAGATTGCAAATAACCTTTCTATAGAAGTGAGGAAGCAAGCCATTCCATGTAAGTTAGAAGTTTTGTAGTTGGGGTTGGTACCAGAGTTGCTTATAATTTTGCCAAACTTTTGCTATTTGGTTTGGGATAAAATTTTCCATGCTAGGAAAACTTCAGTGAAAATGGTTCATCCATTTTTGAGACCAACCCATGTTAAAATATGCTGTTTTGCCTATGTTAAAAATTCTGGTGACATTTTCTTTGAACAGATATAGTGCCCCAGGCTTTGAAATAGGGACTTGACATTTGGCAGGAGAGCAGTCTTCGTATTAGCTGTGTCCCTTTTACCATTCCCATGAAAGTCTGCCCAAATTTGGCCAAGTTATAAGCCTTTAAAAATCACAGTGTACAGATGCTCAGTAAAGACTTCCTAAATTTCACCCACTAAATTCCCCAGTGCTCCAGCCCAGTGCTGAGTGGGACTTTCCCTGCAATTGCAGGTCTGGGCTGCTGTGAGCCATGCTGTGTCCAGTTCCAAGCAATTGAACTGAGACTGAATTTCTGTGCTCACAATGACATCCCTGCTGGGCCCAGGCTTCATGGAGGAGGAGGAATGAAGAAATGATAGAAACTAGCCAGCCAGTGGTGGGAGGGTGGAGAGAGCAGAGTGTGACAAGGAGTTTAGTGGGGGAGGAGTGCAGGAGGCTAGTGGATGGGGCGGCAGAAGAGGGAAACTGGGACTAGGAGCTGGGGTGGGGGAGACTGGGACTGAGAGCTGGAGACAAATGTGTGTGTGTGGCGGGGGGAAGGACACTAGAAGCCAGTAGGTGGCGGGGGACACTGAGATCAGATGAGGAACTGGGAAGAGATTGGGATTGGCTGGGCAAGGTGTCTGGGACTGAAAAGCAGTGGGATGGGGGGAGGAGGAAAGGGAGGGTCAGAGATCTGATGAGCCAGGATGTGTGGGGTGGGGGGAAAGAAGTGGGAATGGCTGGGCAAAAAATAGTGGGCTAAGTAGCCGGGATGGGGTGGGGAAAATGCTGCGATTAGACAAGGAGCCAAGGGAGGGAGAATGGGACTGGGAACCAGTGGGGATGGAGAAGATGAGTGCGGGAGGGGGAGACTGGAGGCAAGCATTGGGAAGAGGACTGGTGACTGCAATTAGGGTAGGCAAGGAGAATAGGACTGGGATAGAGAAGTGACAGGATTGGTACAAGGACATGTTTGAGAGGATGGGGCAAAAGGGGTCATGCTGGGAAGGGATTAGGCAGAAGAATTCATGCGTGCTAGAGCCATCCCCTCCAGAGCATGGCATGGAAGTCAAGATTCCTGAGTCTCACCATTCCTCTGCTGTCAGCAAATATCTGTGAAACTCACGGGGAATGTGTCCTGTCCCCCTCTAGTGCTGATCCACATGACAACCTACTACTGCTATTAGTGACATTGTTAGCTTACATGGCATACGTCTTTGTGGTGGATCTAAATGTCCCAACCGTGCCGATGACCCAGTGGGTATCAATATGATGTCACATAATAGAATTTCTGTTTTTTCAGTTTTCTTTCGTAAGAAAACAGTAAATTACCCCCCCTCCCACGCACACATTAAAAGAGCATTAAGGTTGCAAAGTCAAGCACTCCAAAGTTGGGAGATGCCAGTACTAAGGTTGCTGACTTGAGACCCTGGGGTCTGATTTGCAGAAGTGCTGAGCACTGGCAGCTGCAACTCCAGTCAGTGGGAGTGAACATATAAAGTGCTGTAGAATGCTAAGTTCTACGCAATAGCAGGTCCTAGGGATCTCAAATGGGGGATGTGGAAAATTAGTGGATATTTAGTCCCTAATCTCTCTGACCTCAGTTCCCCATTTGTCCAAAGAAGTTTACAGTCTAGATTTCATTTTTTAAAATGACTTGGATTGAGGGATTAATCTGATTAACTGTAGGAACAAATGACAGTATTTCAAGGTCTTGCCATTGGGTTGTGCCAGCATAACACATAGCCAGGAATCATGAAATCCTAGCCCCATTAAGTTAATGGCAAATATCCGATTGACTTCAATGGAGAGAGGATGTCACCCCTAATTGCTATAGGGTAAAATCAAGGTCAGGTTTGCAGAGCAGTAAAGGGATGTAAGGCATACCGTGGATTGCAGTGTGGGGATGACAGAAGGCTCTGTAGAGCTTCTACACTCACCCCACCTCCCACGCTGGTCTCCTCTCTGTAAGCAGGAATAGCTCAGTAGTTTGAGCATGGGCCTGCTAAACCCAGGGTTGTGAGTTCAATTCTTGAGGGGGCCATTTAGGGATCTGGGGCAAAAATCTGTCTGGGGATTAGTCCTACTTTGTGCAGGGGGTTGGAGTAGATGACCTCCTGAGGTCCTTTCCAACCCTGATATTCTATGAATGGGACTGGACAGATTCTTGGCTCTGCCTCCCCAAACATTGGCTACCTATACTAGACAGTGAACTGCAAGAAATACACTGCACCAGGTATAGGGTTTAGACTTGGGGTAGGGGAAGACCTGGAGGTGGACTGTCCCTTTTTCAGGGCTCATGGCAAAACACAGGTGAGTCCAACACTTGTACCTGCAAATGACTGTGGACTCAAAAATGGAGGACAGTTTTAAGCCCCTTTAAAAAACCTCAGTATTTATGCTTTACAGTTGTGCTGCATTAAGCCATTAAAATACTACCGTATTCTACAGTAATCTCACAAGACACTGCAATATTGCTACTGTAACATATATTGTGTTGCATCATTACAGTAGAATATTGCAATATTTTCTCAGTAGAAAAATTAGCTTATAGAAATCAAGTTATCAGCTGCTTTTATTACCAATACTAGCATACTGTATCCTGGAATCATCCCCATTAATGGGTTGCTGAATGTGTATTATTCACATTATTTGATCACTTGAAAAGCACTATCCATATAATAGAGATGATAGTAAAGTGTTTTTCCCAGCATCTGGTTACATTTTTCAAGATTAACTAACCCTGGTCCTCTCTTTAGCCTCTGCTTCCATGCCATTGTATGCCACCACTGGATTGATCGTAGGGATTATTATCATCAGTGGGATAGCATGGTTGATCTATAACAAGAAAACCAAATCAAAAGGTAGGAAAAGTAAAATTAGTAAGTAAGATCTGCAGAAATATTTTAACTGTTGAAACTTTACAGTGTGTTTTATTTATCTGTTACAGGAAAGCCATCTGCACAACTTCCCAGGTACGGCCTTGAATGGACATAACCAATGAAATATTAGTATAATTTTTAAAGTGTTTTTTCCAACAGATAGAAATGACTGAATAGATTCGTCCCTTATCTTTTTATTTTAGAGCTCAGGATGCTCTTGAAATTCCAGGAGATGAATGTGAGCATTAAGTTTTTGATAAACCTTTTTGAAATGATTGTCTACTTAGCACATTTTGAGAATTGTGTACTATAGATTTCTTAGACTGTCTGTGCATGGTATTAATTTTTTAAACTTCAGATAATGCCAATGCTTTTTTTGACAAGTAACTTTTTGTTAATCAAATTAGTTTTCTGTTAAGTAGACAGTTGTTCTTTAGGGGGGATGATCTTGCAATTAAGGCACTGGAATAGGATATGGGTGATCTGAGTTAAATTCTTGGCTCTCTCACATACATCCTGTCCCTATGACCTTGGGCAAGTTACAGAATCTCTCTATGCCTCAGTTTCTCCTCAATAAAATGAATAGAACAATGCTTCTTGCTCTCTCTGGGGTGCTAAAATGGAGTCATGTGTTCTCAGTGTTTGTGTGTTCTGACAGAATAGTGCTGGGGCCAGAGAAGAACCTAGCAGCTAAGTGATTCTGAATCGTTTTCCTAGCTACTAGAGGTGGGGTACTGTAGACAGTAGCCAACACAGGTCTTAATTCTGGGCTGACTAGAATGGAGTCAAATTCCATTATTTGGGGGTAGGAGAGAAGAATTTATTTAATGTCCTTTTCAAAGGGAGATAATTACTATTTTATTTAGTTGATTGATTTATTTTAGTTGACGTTTTATTTTAATTCTGTGAGATTCATAAACTCTTTGATGCAGAGAAATTGTTTTACAGGTTCCCCGTACGCAGTGAGAAGCAGCGAAGACTTGCAAAGAAATGAAGTGTTGTGTTCACTTGGAACAAGCCCATATGAGGACCCAAATGCAGCCTATTGTACAGTGGATAACACTGCAGCAACTGGCAAGGGGCCAGGAGATGAAATACAGACAGTCTATGAAGTGGTGCCACAATAGCTGTTCCTGTAAGTGACTTGTAAGAGAAAGTGTTATTTTTGACAAATGACATTGCAAATAGAACCACCCAGGTTAGTCAAACTGGTATAACTAATAGGGGGCTATATGAGTACAGTAACTCTTTGCTTAAGTTGTAGTTATGTTCCTGAAAAATGCTATTTTAAGCGAAATGATGTTAAGCGAATCCAATTTCCCCAGAAGAATTAATGTAAATAGGCGGGGATAGGTTCCAGGGAAATTTTTTATTTGCCAGACCTCCCCACACCCCCCGCACAGCAAGCAGGAGGCTCCCGGGAACAGTTTCAAAGCAGCAGGCAGGAGCAGCACACAGCAGTGGGGGGAGGGATACCTGAACTGCCCAGCAATTGATAGCCTGCTGGGTGGCTGCTGCACAGGGAACTTAGGGGAGCTGCTGGTCCACCCTGGTTCCAAGCCCCCACCAGTTGGCTCCAACGGGCTGCTCTTTCTGCAAGCAGTGGACAAAGCAGGTGGCTGCCAAAGAACGTTATAAGGGAGCATTGTTCAACTTTAAACGAGCATGTTCTCTAATTGATCAGTGTAACGGGGTTGGGACTCACCACCGCAGCGCCTCCTACTGGTTGTTCTGGGATTTAGCTCAGTCCAGTGGAGCGCCCCTCCTGGTGGTGTCCCGTCCGTCGTCTCGCCCTCAGTTGGCATGTCTGAGCCCTCGTCGCTCACCAACTCGTGCTGTCTTCTTCGGGACCACTGCCCTCCAGCAGTGCCCCTCAGTCTTTCCATACCCCCTTCCGCGGGGGGGGGGGGTGTCAATCAGCAGTCTCCTTGTCCAGCCACCATAGTCAACCACACACCCCAAAGTCTAATCACTCCTGTCAGGGATCTGGCGTGGTCTGTACTGGCTGCTCCCTATGGCCAATGGCTAGATGTACTGTAAGGGGGAGGCGGGGGCGGCCCAGGCCCGCCCTCTACTCTGGGTCCCGACCCAGGGACCCTCTGGCAGCAGCCTCGCTGTCCTCCTACTCTCCCCTCGTCTGTCCGCTTCCCTGGGCCTCTTTCCCTACAGCCCCTTGCACCCGCTAGGCCCTTCCAATCAGGGCCTGCAGCCTGGCAGGCCTCAGGCTAGAGCTCCCTTCTGGTCCCTGAGCCTGGCCAGCACCGCGCTGTCTGCGGTGCTAGTCTCCCAGTTTGGAGGTAGACCTTCCCCTCTCAAAGGCCCAGGACAGACTGACTGCTCTCTCCCTGTGCAGTCTTTTATAGGGCTGAGCCTGGCCCTGATTGGCTGTCTCCAACCTGGGCCCTGATTGGTTCCCACTAAGCCCTTCTCTGATTGGCTGTGCGTCTGCGCAGGCCCACTGGCCTGCTGCAGCCCATAATCTCAGGGAGTGGGGCAGCCGCCCCACTACAATCAGCAATGTAACAACGAAACAACATTAACCGAGATGACGATAAATGAGGAGTTACTATATGCACTAATAATGGGAAATACGTTTCCGGTTGTATGAATCTGCTCAGGGGTCTGTTTCTCACTACAGCAGTAAGGAACTTCAGTTATTACCTGTATCTTCCCCTTTTTGAACGGTGTAAGCTGTAGATTCGGAATTTCAAATCTGTGGCAAAAGGAACAGGCTAATCAGGGAATTGTTCAGCCCGAGCAAACCTTAAATTGATCACACACATTAGACAGCTGTGAGCTTTCAGCTAGTGCAAACCATGCATGAGGGAAAAGGCACAAGGAGCAGTGCATTGGTTTGCCATAACTGCAATCTCTGTGATCTCCTGAGTGCAGGAACTGCTTCTTCGGACACAAGCTGCCCAAAAAGTGGAATAAACGATGCAGGGAGATGGTATGGCCATGGCCTGACCTGCTCCACCCTACACTCTCCTTTGGGGAAGCACAGCATCTGTTCTTGCCCAGCAATGCAGGGGAGTTCCAGGAGACAGTGGGTAAATTGCTTTCTTGTCACGTATGGCTATGAATACACATAGAAAGGCCTTTTATGGTTCATTTAAGCTCAGAATTCTCAAAGTTGTATTCTTGAGTGTTGGTACCATTGCTCTGGCCCGTATTTCTCTTGAGCACTAATTTGCCTTTGTAAAACAGCCATGAAATCCCCACTACTACTCCTTTTTACAGTAAAAAAAAAAATCACTTTGAGAGTAATGGGCCATAGTTTCCTGTCATATGCAATTGCTCTGATATCAGTGTAACTGAAACCTGAGAGGAAAATTAGTGTGAGATTGTTATTCAGAAGATATAATGAATGCTGACATATACGACTTTCTCTAAAACCATTTCTAAAAGTTCTCTACTGACCATGAAATTGTTTTTCTTTGCAGAGGAGCTGGAGAATGGACGTCGGTTTGAAAATAACTATGTACTTTTGGCTGATTTTAGGGGAAAAAACTCAGCATAGTAGCCTTGACTACCCAATTTTGACTATTCAATGAGCTATCTTAGAAAATATTATGGGGCAGATCCTCTACTGATATAAATTCTCATAGCTCCATTATGAAGCTATGACCATTTGCACCAGAGAAACATAGGAATTGTCACACTCAGACCATTGGTTCATTTAGTTCAGAAAATTCTCCAGCAGTGGCCTTTATCAGATGTGTCAGAAGTAGATTCAAGAATCCCCATAAGGGACAATTATGGCATAACTCGCTCATAGGGGAAGTTTCTTCTCAACACCTATCGGCTAGAAATTGACTATCCCCTGAAGCGAGAGGGTTTTATAGCCCTCATACATCTTATCCTATCTAATGTAAAATTATCCTTACAGCAGTGTTTCCCAAACTTGGGACGCCGCTTGTGTAGAGAAAGTCCCTGGCGAGCCGGGCCGGTTTGTTTCCAGCAGCTCCCATTGGCCTGGAGCAGCGAACCGCGGACAGTGGGATACGCGATCGGCCGGACCTGCGGACATGGCAGGTAAACAAACCGGCCCGGCCTGCCAGGGGCTTTCCCTACGCAAGCGGCATCCCAAGGTTGGGAAACACTGCCTTAGAGTATGAAAACCTATATAAATGAATGATTGCTTTAGGAACAAAGATCTTTATTTTCCTCCAGTTTTATACTGGTGTAATTCTGTTGGCTCCATTGGAGATACTCCTGCTTTACATTGGTGTAAGTGAGAGGAGGATCAGAAGCTTAGACACTCAGGTGTGATTACTAGAGCAGGCAGAATCAATTAAGGACACTATTAGCCCCTACCATAAGTTTTTCTTCTTTAAAATGGCCACATTGGATATAATGTTGTGAAGGGAGACTGGGGTCCTTTATGTATCCCCAGAAAAGGTACAGCACAAACCATGTTCC